CAGCCAAGAAGTAGCAGGATGAAGCATGAACCTGGATCTCCAGATGCCGCCTCTGGCTAGGAACCAGTGTACGTGAGGACAGAATAAAAGCAGTCTAGATCTCAGTGACTCCTGCCCCTCCCCCAGACAAAGTCTAACTGTGTAGCCTTGGGTGGCCAGGAATTCTCTTTGTAGACCAGAGTGGCCTTGAACTCACAAGGATACCCTCCCCCACCTCGAAGTGCTGGGATTAAGAGCGTGGGTCACCGTGCACAGAACCTTGATGACTTTTTCCTGTTTTGAGATTTATTTAATTTTATGTATAAGAGTGTTTTGCCTACATGCCAGAAGAGTAAATCAGGTCCCCTGGAACTGGAGTTACGGAGAGATGTAAACTACTGTGTGGGTCTGAGAAGCAATCCCAGTCTTCTACAAGAAAGAACCACAGATGCGCTTAACCGCTTGGTCATCAATGGCATTTGTGTGTGTGCGTGTGCACATGTGTGTGCGTGTGCACGCATGTGTACATGTGTGCGCGTATGTGTGCATGTGTGTACGTGCGTATGTGCACATGTGTGTGCATGTGCACGTGTGTGCATAGGTGTGTACATGTGTGCGCGTATATGTGTGTGCGTGCATGTGTGCATGTGCCCGTGTGTGTACGTGTGTGTGCACGTGTGTGTACATGTGTGCGCGTATGTGTGCATTGTGAGTGCATGCACGTGCGTGAGTGTGCATGTGTGTGCGTGTGTGTGTGCACCTGTGTGTGCATGTGCATGTGTGTACATGGGTGTGTACATGTGTGCGTGTATGTGTGCATGTGTGAGTGCATGCACGTGTGTTAGCATGTGCACGTGTGCGTGTGTGTACAGGTGTGCGCATGTGTGCGTGTATGTGCGTGAGTGTGCATGTGTGCATGCGTGCATGTGCATGTGTATACTTTAAATTTTTTTGTTTGGGAGGGGCCTATGTGCTATAACATGTGAACAAGTTTTAGGAGTCAGTTTTCTCCTTCAATCTTGTAAATCTCCAGGGATTGAACTCAGGTCATCAGGCTTGGTAGCGGGTACCTTTACCTGTTGAGCCATCTTACAGGTCCTGGATTATGAGTTCCGCACCCTCCGCATGTTAGGAGGTCAGAGGACAGATTTAGGGAATTGATCCTCTCCATCTATCATGGTTCCAGAACCCAAACTAAGATGGTCATGGTATAGCTTTTACCTTGCCGACCATGGCTGGCTTTCTCAAGGCCAGCTAAAGATCCTGCCTCCCACCCTCTCCCACGAGTCAAAAAGTCTGCGTGTTCGACCGTCTTTTTTTCCCCTTTGCACCTGCTCTTCTGGATGGCCACCAAGTGGGCTGGGCTTTCTGCTGGCTGGTCTTTGTGGGCAGGGCCGGCTCAGGAAGGAAGCCAGAGAGGTGCAGGCTGGAGTGTGGAGATTACATGCCTGTGAGGCACACTCAAGACTTGTTTAAGATCAGCTTGGTTTGTTGACAAAGGACTGGGTGGGTCTCATGCCTGTGGAGTCAGTCTCCAGGGTCAAGGAGTCCCAGAGGTAGTACCTCACTCTAAAGTAGCAGCCTGCTAGGCCCAAAGCCAAAGGCTTCCTGTTCCAAGTCATTTACCTGCTTAGCAACCCTGCTCTTGGACGCAGAGGAAGCCGCAGCTACCTACCTTTGATCAAATACAGCATTTGAGCCCCTGCCCCGCCCCATCAGCCATGGAAGTAGATTTGATCTCCTGGATCCAACTGTGCCTGAGATAGTTTGCCTTTGATCTTACCGGTTATACATCTAACTTTTAAAATTTATTTGGGAGGGAGGTTACTTTTCAGATAGGGCCTTAATCGGTAGCCTTGCCTGGCTTGGAACTCCAAGGAACTCCAAGGAACTCCAGTTATAGCCCCAGGCTAACCTCAGGTTTGTAGTAAACTGCCTGATTCTGCCTCTCAGATGCTTGATTCCCAGAGTGAGTGAGGGCCACTGTGTTTGGTTTTTGTTTGTTTGTTTTGTTTTCTCCTAAGACTGAGTCTTACAGCACAGCCTTGGCTGAGCTCAATGTTGCAGCAATCCTCCTGCCTCAGTGTCCTGCTGAGAATACAGGTGTGAGCTGGGTGGTGGCACTGCTTCGTGCCTTTGATTCCAGCCCTTGGGAAGCAGAGGCAGGTGGATCTCTATGAGTTTGAGGCCAGCCTGGACTATAGAGCTAGTGCCAGGACAGGAACCAAAGCTACACAGAGAAACCCTGTCTTGAAATAAAAAAAAAAAAAAAAAAGATACAGGTGTGAACCACCATGCCTGTCTGAATTTAAATAAAAATGTCACCCCCCATATTTGTTTATTGTTTAGTATTGTGTGTGCTCACGCTCTGATGCTTGTGTAGAAGGCAGAAGGCAGCTTGTATGAGGAGGTTCTCCTTCCACTAAGTGGGATGTGAGGACAAGCCCCCCTCATACTGGGCAGCTCACCAGCCTTCCTTTGTCTGTCTGTCCCAGCATTCTACTGTGGGAGGGAGGAGGATAGAGTCTGGCCAGCTAGGGCCACTTGAAGCCCTGTCATAAACAAGCAAGCCAGCAAATACAGCAAACAGACAAAACTGCCATCTTCCACTCTGCCATAGAGGACAAAAGAGCTCTACCAACAGGGACAGGGAGGTGGGAGGGGGGGACAGGAACAAATCCTGGTATCTGTTGACAGGAGGTGTCCTCCCCTAATCCAGTTTCACTTTCCATGGCCAGCCTTAGTTCAAAAGTGATCAATAGAACATTCCAGATATAAGTAATTCCTAAGTTTAAAATAACTTTTATTTTATTTTATTTTTTTATTTTTTTTGGATTTTTCGAGACAGGGTTTCTCCGTAGCTTTTGGTTCCTGTCCTGGAACTAGCTCTTGTAGACCAGGCTGGCCTCGAACTCACAGAGATCCGCCTGCCTCCGCCTCCCGAGTGCTGGGATTAAAGGCGTGTGCCACCACCACCCGGCTATAACTTTTATTTTAAACAGCAATTTTTAACAATGCCATACTTTATGTTCCTATATTTATTCTATTTAGTGTGCATATGCATGTATGTGTGTGATTGTGTAGGTGTGTGAAGTGAGAGTGAGGAAGCCAGAGGACAACCTCAGATGTTCCTCAGCCACTACCAATCTTTGGAAAAGATATTTTACAGGCTGGAGAGATGGCTCAGGGGTTAAGGGCACTGACTACTCTTCCAGAGGACCTAGGTTCAATTCCTAGCACCCACATAGCAGCTCATAACTGTCTGTAACTATGGTTCCAGGGGACCTGGCAGCCATGGCAAACAAATATATTTTACTTTTAATTATGTGCATGTGTCTATGTGTGGGTATGTGCACATGAGTGCAGGTGACCGCGGAAGCCAGAAGAGGGCGCCATATCCCCTGGAGCTGAAGTTACAGGTGGTTGTGAGCTGCCTGATGTGGGTGTTGAGAACAGAACTCCAGTCTTCTGCAAGAGCAGTAAACACCCTTAACCATTGAGCCATCTGCCTAGCCCCAACCTTTTGGTTTTTTTTTTGAAACAGGGTCTCTCACTGGTCTGAAATCTTGCCAAAGAGGCTGGACTAACTGGCCAGCAAGCCAGTCTGTTTCTGAAGCACTGGGATTTTGTTCAGCTTTTCATATGGGGATTTATGGATTGAACTCATTCTTATGCTTGCAAAATAGTTTATTGACTGAGCCATCTCCTCGGCCTTCCGTTTTACTAATGATTGTTCACTTTTCTTTCTAGTCTTTCTTTCCTTAACTTATTGAGACAGGCTTTTCACACTGTAGCCCAGGAGGGGCTTGAACTAATGGTCATCCTCCTGCCTCAGCTTCCTGAGTGCTGGGATATTAAATGTGACCCACACTTGGCTTTCTCAGTAGCTATGAATTTCATCCTGACTTGGGCTATAAAGTGAGATTCATCAGAGACACATGTGTGTAAGAGAAAAACGGTGTACAGAATGCTTGGTGATGTCTGTTTCTGGAATTCAGTGGAATCTTGGGACAAATCCCTTGTGTCAAGGGGAAGGTGTCTACTGTATTAAAAATGTGAACTTCTGGGCAGTGTTGGTGCATGGCTTTAGTCCCAGAACTCAGGAGGTAGAAGCAGATGGATCTCTGAATTTAAGGCCAGCCTGGTCTACAGAACGAGTGCCAGGACAGCCAGGGCTACACAAAGAAACTCTGTCTCAAAAAAAAAAAAAAAAAAAAAAGTAAAATAGTGGTGGCACTCCCCTGTAATCCCATAACTTGTGAAGTGAAGGCAGGGGGACGTGGATTTTAGGGTCATCTTCAGCTACTCAGTGTTAGTTCAAAGCCAGCCTGGACTATACGACTCAATTCATGAGGGTTGGCAGAAAGTGACCTTGCTCACTAAGACACCTGACTCCAGTTATTTTGTGACAGTCTCACTCTGCAGGCTCCCAGCCTGGGACTCGCCATGTAGTCCAGGCTGGCCTCAAACTCACAACCCAATCACCTCAGCATCCCGATTGCTCAGATAACCAGCACAGTTCACCATGCCAGGCTTCTGTCCTTGCCCACCCTTCCCGTTTGGACCTTAGGAAGTCTGTCAGTTTCAGCACTGCCCCAGGTCCCTTTTGCATTCCTCCTGTGACCCCTGCTTCTCCAGGGAGCCCCCAGCTCCTCCAGGAGGGGGAAAGGATTTTTCTAGCCTTAGTTTCAGCTCCCTAGGGACTCTAGGAATTTTTCCTTAAGAGGAGAAGGACCTCAACCCTAAGCAGGCACTGGGCACTGGTACAGTGTCCAGGCTAGTGCGTGGACCCCTGGCGGGGCTCTGCCAACACCAGCTAGTTGTGTCTCATCCCATGCTATCTGTCTCTCACTCTCTCTTAGCTTGTCTCTTGCGTTCTCCTTGACATCAGGCTTTTCCTGAGGGTGTGTGAGGAGGCAGACAGCCAGCAGTAGTAGGAGGGGACAATGGCCTGCACCCTCCCTTCCCCTTTACCCCCTCCCCTTCCCCAGAAGAGGATCTGGTTGTAGGAAGGTATCCACGTGACAGGCAGCATTTATTTAAGAATCCAGTGTCCATGATGATGGGCTGGGGCGAGGGGCAGGGATGGGGTGGGTTGGGGACTCCAGTGTCAGACTACACAGCAGGGTATCAGGTGGGGGGCAGTGCCCAGCAAGGGAGACAGGAGGTAAAAATAGCCCCGGCCTGCCGACCCTCAGCGCCTTGTCCCAGGCCGGTCCCTGGGCTTGGCTCCAGGAGCTATTCTGGTGCCTGGGAGAGTTCCATTCCCTGGAGGAAGGCCCCCTCTCAGCCCTCCCCCACCCTCCCTTTTTCCCCTCCCTGAGGCCACTGGCCACTGTGGGTCCCTGCCCAGCAGGCAGAGGAAGGAAGGGAGGGCCGAGACTGAAGGAGGAAGGAGGTGGAGGCGTGTGCGCAGAGCCGGTCCTCCGACGATGCCCAAAGTTCCAGATCCAGAGACAGCCTCTGGGAGGTCCTCAGCCTCAGCACTGGTGACAGAACCTGTAGCTCAGCCTGAGCCCACAAAACTGGCCCTGTGCTCAGTTGCTTCCTCAATGGACACCCAGGCCATCACTCACCTCATCTCCGAATCCCCCGCCGCCACCTCTGCCTCCTCCGGAGGGCCCACCCATAAGAAGGCCTGTCTGCTCTGGACGATCTGAGCCAGAGTGGCTCAGCTCTGGTTCCCTGGCTGGCCTGGGAGAGGACAGTGGCATCATGGAAAGATCACTGCTCGAGATCGGAACTGGGAGTGGGGTCGGGGTGGCAATGGCAGTGGGTTTGGTGGTAGGAGGGAAGGGAAGGGTTGCTGAGGTTGGAGATGGGCTAGAAGCAAGGTTAACTTTAGAAAGAGGCCTGGACAGTTATGGGCAGAAGCTGAGGATGCTATAGGAGGTTAGAGGTGAGGTAAGGTAGGACCGCGTACAGGATGTGGGGTTTGAGGTAAACACAGACATGGGTTGTGGGGATGTAGCTATGACGGAGAAAGACAGACCGCCACTGGAAGTGTGACTTTAAGGAGCAGGTCAGGGTGTGACTAGCATTGGTGTGGAAACAGCCCTGTGTGGGACTTTGGAAGGACAAAGTCTAGACTGGAGACAAGTTGGGCTTTGCGGCACAGGGCTCTAAGCCCAGCCTTGGGAAGTTAAAGCAAGAGGAAAGTTCAAGGCCAACCTGGACAACTCAATGTAACCTTGTCACAGAATAGTCCAAAAGGGACCGAGGATGCGTGTAAAGAACCTGCCTAGAATCTCCAGGTGATGGCTTAGTGGTAGAGCAACTCCCTGGAACTCCCCTCCCCCGTGTGCTGGCTAGTTTTATGTCAATTTAACATAGGCTAGTTATTTGAAAGGAGGGACCCTTGGCTGAGAAAATGCTTCCTAAGATCAAGTCTGTAGGGCATTTTCTTTTCTTTTGGCTTTTGAAGACAGGGTTTCTCTGTGTATCCCTGGCTGGCTTCAAACTCACAGAGATCGTCTGCCTCTGCCTCCTGAGCGCTGGGATGAAAAAGACTTTGCACCACCACTGTCCCGCTAGGAGTGTGGCTCAGGAGCAAGGCTTTGTTTGATGTAAAGTCTGGGTCCCAGCTCCAAAACTTCAGTCAGAATGAAAGACTGGAGCTAAGGATAGAGGCCTGTAACTGGGGATGACAGATGGAGACAGACATGGTCTGACTAAGGAGACTTCAGGGGGCTCTGGTTGGGATTCTGGGTGGTAGGCAAGGCTATCCTTGGGTTGGCGAGGGGTGAAGACAGGTGGGGGAGGGCAGGTAGCTGATGGGTTTGGGACTCCTTTTGCAGCAGAGCTGGAGGGCTTGGCTGAGGACAGGACAGGGCTATGGTTGCAGAAGGACTGGAAGCCTGCAAATACTTACGGAGCCCCCTTCTCCTTTCGCCGGCAGCAGCTGGGGCGCCCCTTGCGTCTCATGCAGTAAAAAGCAGCAACCACAAGCAGTAGGAGGCCTACGCTGACGGCTACAGCCATGACAGCCACTCCAGCCTGGGCAGTCTGAGGGGCCACTGCGAGGAGACAACAAAGAGGTACTAGGCTCCCTAGATCAGGGCGCCTGCGTGTCCACCCAGTTGCTCCCCTCCTGGTTACCCACCAGAGCCAAAATGGAAGACATGGCTTCTCTTGCCATGGACGTTAGATGCCTCACAGGACACGCCCTCTCGGCTCAGGGCGCTGGTCACTTTCACCATCAGCGAGCTGCTCATCCAGCCTTTGCCCTCAAAGGGAGGCTCTGCTGGCTGTGGAGGCTTGGGTCAGGCCAGGCCCCTTGGGGGTCAAGGGCTGGGGGTGTAGGCTGAGGTGGAGTATAGGGGCTATGAAGCTTGGATCGATGAGGGTCAGGGTCCCCTGTGGAACTTGGGGTAAGCTCAGAGTGGCAAGGCATGTCCCTTACAGTATCGCCTGGCTGGCTCCAGGTGAGTTTGGGTTCTGGGTAGCCTTGGGCGGAGCAGACCAGCGTGACTTCGTCTCCTTCCATCCAGCTGTTCCCCGATATGGGCTTTATCTCATTTGGTTTTAACTCTGGTGTCCCTGTGGGCGGTGGGGAGCAGCAGAGTGAGGGGGAGGCAGACTGCCAGGGAAAGGAGAGAGACACAGGAGTGGAACAAGGAGAAAATAGAGAAGGGACTGGGGAGATGGCTCCGCAGACCAAGTGCTCGCTATACAAGTTTCAGGACCGGAGTTTGCTCCCTGGCACCCACATAAAAATGGGTACAGCAGTGCACAGTTAGGACCCCAGTACTGGGGTGGGAGGACTGCAGGGACAGGAGGACTTCTGGAGTCCCCTAAGCAGCCAATCAGTGAGCTCCAGGTCTCAAGAAGAAGGCAGAGGGGAATGGCAGGATGGCTCAGCATGCAAAAGTGCACCTTGCCAAGCCCGACAACCAGAGTTCCTTCCTTGCAATCGACGGGGTGTTCTCCTGCCACCACAAACTGTACTCCCAAAATAAATAGACAAAAAAAAAAAATACAGCTGTGTGCAGCGGTGCACACCTTGTACCGCAGCACTCCAGAGGCAGAGGCAGGCAGACATCTGTGAGTTCGAGGCCAGCCTGGTCTACAAAGTGAGTCCCAGGACAGCCAGGGCTACACAGAGAAACCCTGTCTCACAACACGCGTCCCTGCACCACGCCTTCCCCCAACAAAAATTAGACAGGGATAGAGGAAGACACTCAGGGTCGACTTCTGGCATCAGGCATGCACATACACACACACACAGACACACAAGACACATGCAGACACAACAAAAGAAAGATAACGAAAGAGAGACACTGCCCCCACATAAGGCGCCCAACAATCCAAACCTTGAACCACCAGCTGGAAACTCTGTGTCCGGCTCAGGAGGGGGACGGTGGGTGTAGAGGCCTCACATGTGTAGGTACCAGCAGAGTCAAAGGTAACAGCATCGAGAGCCAGAGTGCGACCATGTGCGAGGGTCACAGAATCCTAGGGCAGGGACAGGAAGGAAGCCGGGGAGGACCATGAGGTTGAGAGGCTGAGGCGGAGCAGCCAAGGCCCCACAGCTCCTTCCTTCTGTCACCTTGGTCCAGCGCACAGTAGGAGCAGGCAAACCTCTGGCGGAGCAGTCTACCACCGTGCCACTACTGTTCAGGAAGACGAAGAGTTCCTCGGGCACGCTCAGCTCCAGGGGATCCAGGTCTGCAGGGGAGAAACATGCTCACATTCCCCAGCCCTTGTCCACTCAGCAAGGGCGCCTCTAGAGAGCTATCAGTGGCAGACAACACCTTGTTGTTCTTTCTAATTCAACCCAGTACCGTGCAACTTTACTTTCCATTCAGGCCCTGCAGTCAGCACTAGTAGAACAGCTCTGAAGAATGCACTATCTGACCTACTATCTGAGGCTTTGCAGTACTGAGGATGCCACGAGCAAGGCAAGTACTCTACCACTGGGCCACACCCCCAGCCCCTCACTGGGGGATTCTAGGCAGGTGCTCTACCACTGGGCCACACCCCCAGCCCTCACTGGGGGATTCTAGGCAGGGGCTCTGCTTCAGTGCTGTACCTCCAGCTCTCTATCTCAAGCTTTTGTTTAATTAAGCTCAAATGTCTGCTCCTCTGTACCACCCTCATTCCACCTCCATACAAACTTGTTGAGTTTGGACCAGCAAGAAGGCTCACTGGCTAGACTCCTGCTGACACCGGTCCTCTAGACCCACATGGAAGGAGATGACAAACTCCTGTAAGCTGTCCTCTGACTTCCATGCGCACAGATGCACAAATGAATAAACGGTAAGAATAATTTAAAATGATCAGACAACTTAAAGGGCTCGAGCTGTATATAAACACAGGAGGTAGAGTGTTTGTCTAACATGGAAAAGGCCCTAGGTTCAAATGTCAGCATCTCAAAAGACAATAAAATTCTGACTGGTTTTGGTGGTTCCGTGCTTGTAATCCCAGCACTTGGGAAGCTAAGGCGGGAAGATCAGAGTTTCAGGCTAACTTTGGCTATCTAAGACATTGTTTACAGAAAAACTAAGATTTTTATTTGTCTATTCTGAGAAGGTTCCCCCTACTTCCCTTTACCTGACCCACTCTCTGTCCTTACCATCTCTCTACTAGTCTTCCCTCGCTGTCTCTTTCTCCTCTCTTTTTTTGGTTTTTCAAAACGGGGTATCTCTGTGTAGCCCTGGCTGTTCTGGAAGTCACTGTGTAGAGCAGGCTGGCCTCAAACTCAGAGACTGGCCTGCCTCTGCTTCTCCAGTGCTGGGATTAATGGCATGCATTACACTGCTTGGCTTACCCCTCACTTTCTAAAAGTTGTATTTTTTTTAAATAATTTAACTTTATTTTATGTACATTGGTGTAAAGCTACAGGCAGTTGTGAGCCACCATGTTGGTGCTGGGAATTGAACCCAGGTCCTCTGGAAGAGCAGCCAGTGCTCTTAACCATTGAGCCATCTCTCCAGCCCCTAAAAGTTGTATTTTTATTATTGTGTGTGCATGTATGCATGCGTGAGTGCCGTGGCACATGGACAGAGGTCAGATGATTCTCTCCCTACTTCATGTGAGACCCAAACTTGGACCATTGGGCCTGGCAGCAAGCTCCTTGGCTTGCTGAGCCATCTTGCCAGCCCTATTCCTCATTTTGGTTATCTCGGTCGATCCTCTACTGAGCAGCCCAAGGAATGCTTTCAAAGAACACACTGGTCCAGCCATCTTCCTTCCTCTCTGGCTTAAAATCCTGCTATGGTTTCCCAGTACCCTGGGCATCATGGACAAATTAGGCCAGCCTACAAGAGCCTGCCTAGCCTTTGAACACTATCTGCTTAGTTACAGAGACCTTGTTTTTGGGTTTAGTTTTCTCAAGAATACCAAGTTCATTTCTAGGGCCCGAGCACCAGGTCATCTGCCTGCAGCAGAGGCTTTCGGCTCTGCAAGCTTCTCACGTCATTCTTCAGCTTCCTACCCATGTGTCCCCTTCTCTCAGAGGCCTCCCTGCCCCTGCCGCTGTGGACACCCGGATCTCGGGATCTCGCTTCCAACACCAACAACTGATTCTCCCAGCTGCTGCAAGGGGGGTTGGCAGCTGTCAACCCTCAGCTGTCAGCTCTTGGTGGGAATGCCCTCAACTGCAAGGAGCCCCTCACCCAAGGTCATACCCCCTTTCCTGCACAACACACAGACAGGTCCAATTCCATCGTGCTAACTGCAAGCAACTGTGGAGTGTCGTCGGCCACCCCCTTCCCTGTCCTGCTAGACCTTGTGTAAACCACAGTTAAACTTCACGCCTGCCCATTCTTGCTACTTCTGAATACAGGGATCACAAGAGACTTTCCATAAACACTCTACCTGCAGACGTGGTAGCAGAGAACACTTCTAGGGAACTCAATTCTGTCACCGACCACCTCCGTTTTATCAGTGCTACTGCTCTAAGACACACTAACGTGATTAAAAGGGATTGGGCCAGCACTTGCCTTCTGTTTCTGTTACTGTGGGGGGGGGGCTGTACAGTGAGTTTAAGGCCAGTCTAGCTTCATGAGACTGTCTCAAAACAAAACACAACAACTCAACAGGTAGAGTACTTGCTGGGCAAACAAGAGGACCAGAGTCCTAGAACCCTGCCTAGAATCCCCCAGTGAGGGGCTGGGGTGTGGCTCAGTGGTAGAGCCCCTGCCTAGAATCCCCCAGTGAGGGAGTGGGGACATGGCTCAGAGGTAGAGCCCCTGTCTCGAAGCCCCAGATTCCACATAAAAGGTACGGTGTAGCTGTGCATGATTACTCTTAGGACTAAGGAAGCAAAGGCAGAAAGATCTCTGGGGCATGCTGGCTGGCCAGACAGTCTAGCTTAACAGGAGAGCTCCAAGCAGATAAAGAGATCCTTCTCAAAATCTAAAGTGTCAACCCTGAGTAACGCCAGCTAAGGCCTTGACACATGCATGCACAGGAGGTGTGCACATGCACTCAGATGCGCACACTAAAGACCACTTTCTTCCTAGTGAAGTGAATGCAAAAGCTGCTTAGAAACCGGGGCCGAGCCAAGCATAATCCTGTGGAGTTAGTATGGAAGAGAGGAGCCTGCGGTGTGCTGGAGCTGTGGCCTCCATGGGGGAGGAGTCAGTTGATGGCAAAGCCTCTCAGTTCTGGGGAACACAGATGGTTAAAAGGGGATTGATCTTTCTCTATAAAGCACTGGGGAGGAGCAGCAGGTTCCAGACAGGGGAGAGAGACAAATGTGTGCTCTGGAACTAGGACTCTGGAAGGAGCCAGGGTGGGGACCCTGAGGGAGAGGAGCTGGTGAAGCCTCACCACTCCCTGCCCTCCCTCCCTGCCAAAGCTCTCACAGGCCACATGCAGCTTTAGCATCTTGACAAGTTGTGCGTCCTCGGCGGCATCGTAGTCCTCCACTCTGCATCCGTAGGTGCCACTCTGGTTCCGGTGCACCCCCTCCAGGGTCAAGTTCCCCTTGAGGTTGACATTTAGCAGTTCCTCCTGGTTGTTCTGAGAAAGTAGATGGGACGCAAGAATTAGGAATTGTTCTGAGGGCAACTGGGGGTGGAGTCAGAGGTCACCAAGCCGATGTCATACTTGACTAGAGCCTGTTCAAGCCAAAGGTCAGGGGTCACACTGGGTGGGTATAGTCTCCAAACCATCTCAAGTTAGGGTCAGAGGAACCACCTCAAGTCAGGGTCAGAGGTCTTTTGGTAGAGCCCCTGCCTAGAATCCCCCAGTGAGGGGCTGGGGTGTGGCTCAGTGGTAGAGCCCCTGCCTAGAATCCTCCAGTGAGGGGCTGGGGTGTGGCTCAGTGATAGAGCCCCTGTCTAGAATCCCCCCACCCCTGTGAGGGCTGGGATTGTGGTTCAGTGGAAGCACAGTTATGTAACATGAGACAGGTCCTGGGTTCCATCTCCCTCATCAGCAAGAGGCTGATGAGGTTAGTATGACCCAGAATCAGGTGGGATCCAAAGGGACCACAGAGTAAATTACCTTCAGGCGGAAAAAGGAGTACTCCAGGCTGGGGCTGCCATCACCCTGGCAGAGCAGCTGGACAGCGTCACCCTCACGCACCCATCCTTCCGTGGTGGATGGACTTCCCACCCAGAATTCCACATGCTCTGTGGGATCTGTGGGAAGACAGGAAGTAAGGTCATCTGTCAAGGGGAAAGGTCAGTTCTACTTTTTTTCGGAGTCAGGGTTTCTCTGGGTAGCCCTGGCTGTACTAGAACCCACTCTGTAGACCAGGCTGGCCTTGAACTCACAGAGATCCGCCAGCCTCTGCCTCCCCAGTGCTGGGATTAAAGGCGAGTGCTGGGATTAAAGGCGTGTGCCACCACAGTTCTGCTGAGATTTCTGTTGTGTGTGTGTGTGTGTGTGTGTGTGTGTGGTGTATGTGTCCTATTCCTTCTGTCTGGTTTTTGAGACAGGCTCCCTCTCTGTCGCTCAGCTAGATTTCGTACTCTCTAAATTCTTATCTCAGCTTCTCCAGTGTTGAGATGACTTGAGAGGTCCAGACTCATTCTCAGAACACAGCAAAGGTCAGAGATCTAGGTAAATTGACAGAATGCCTCAAGGGTCAGGGGTCACTGTACAATTTGAGATTTAAGACAAGATGTCATATGGGGAACCAATTCTGTGGGAGAAGGTGAGCGTCCCATGGGGTACAGGGTCCTATACTGAAGTCAGAATCAGTATGATTGTTTGGGGTGCTGAGGTCAAAGGTCAGCAGCCCATCCCCTCATTATTTCTACAAGAGGTGAAAAGGTAGGGTGAGGACACAGATTGGAATCAGGGTCTGGGAGTTGGGCCTTGCTGGGATAGGATCTTGGGTCAGGGGCCGGGAGTCATGGGGACTCACAGTGCAGCGTGAGCTGGAAGGCAGGGCTGTCCAGGTGGCCTTCCTGACCTGAGGGCAACTTGTACTGAGCAGCACAGTGGAACCTGGCATCCCGATCCTCCTTGTGGAGCCTCAGGTAGAGGGTGCTGGTCAGGGAATACAGGCCCGAGGCCTCTCGGACGGTGCGGCTGGTCATGTAACCATCTGTGAGAGAGGCAGGCAGCAGGACGAGGTGACTAACCCCTGCCACAAGCCACCACCCCAACCCCCATTCCCCTTGGCTCCTGATGGCTCACTTGTGTTCAATTCCATGGGCACTTTCAGTTGCTGCCCGTTTCGATACCATGTGATGTTAGGCACCGGGTTTCCGTTCTGGCTGCTGCAGGTGGCAATCTGGGAAAGGCATGGGCGTGGCCTGGGCTTGGTGCCAGGACTCTGAAGTCTGGTTCTCTTTTCCCCAGATCTCCCCTTGAGACATGTCCATTGGGCTTTCTCCCCAGGAGAGGAAACAGATCTCATTGACTCCAGTTCCTCCCAATAAAAAGCCCAGAGCCTAGGCCTATGAGATGGCTCAGTCAGTAAGTGTGCTTGTGGGCGAGACGGAAGACCTGCGTTAGATCCCTGGAACCGTGTAGAGGTATAGAGAGGGAAGCGGCCCTCAAAAGTTGTCCTCTGATTTACGCTGTGGCACGTAATTAACAAATAATTAGTGAAATAATTAATTAAAAACCTGAAACAGGTGTGGCGGCACACAAATGTAATTCCAGCCCTCAAGAGGCTGAGATAGAAACATCAGTTTGGCACTAGCCTGGGCTACATAATGAATTCCAGGACAGCCTGAGCCTCATGAGACCCCATTTCACACAACCCTAAGCCACAGCTAGGGTAAGCCTAGCACTTGAATCAATCGTAGAGGCTGGGGGAGCAGAAGTGTCCTGGCCACACAGCAGGTTTGAGATCACACTGGGCTATGAGACAGTGTTGCAAAAAAAACAAAACCAAGAAAAAAAAAAAACCACTACAATGACACATGCCTAGGACCTCAGTCCTTGGAAGGTATGAGTGGCCACACAGAAAGCTTCAGGATAGCCTGTGCTACATAAAGTCGCCCTCCCAAACAAAAACAAAAACCAAACAAGGAAAATACCCAAGGAGTACCTGCCTCGCGTGCTCAAAGAAAGCCCTGAGTTCAGTCTCCCATATCACAAAACAAAGCAATAACAAAGAAGGTCTTGGGTCTCTTCACCCACTGCTCAACTCCAGGACACATTACCTCCTGGGCAGACTCGTCCAACACAGACAGCGTTCCTTTGTTGGGAAACACCTCCGTAGGCTCGGGGGTTGCTGTTGGGGAGATGGTCATGTCAGGAGGACCTTCTCTGACCCTCCCCCATCCCCAATCCACCCTCGCTCCTCAGGATAGTGTTGGGGACACTCACTAAACACACGGACTCTTGAGGTGGCCTCTGAGGTTCCCATTGGCCCAGCCTTCACCACACACACGTAGTCCCGCTCGTCGCCCACTTGGGTATCATTTATCACCAGTCCCCCGCGGGAGTCTAGAGCATATGCGGGATTGCGACCCCGAGAGTTGTGGATTGTGGACCGGAGCTTTGAGCCCTGTGGCTCCCCAGAAGCTAGGAGGTGTCGGGACCCAGAAGCATCAACCTGGGGGTATGAACAGGAATAGTCTTAGCTTGGATTGTGAGCACTCCCTTACTACTGAATCCCTCTAAGATTTTTTTTCCCTCTGGGCCTAAGGGGAGAACCTGGTGGCTTCCACATACTAAGCAATCACTACCACTGAGTCACACCCCAGCCCCTCACTGGGGGATTGTAGGCAGGTGTAGATCTAGGCAAGTGTTTGACTGTAAATGGAAATGTGGCTTTTGAAAGCTCCATGTGGGGTCTTCTGGACACGCCAGGGGATCCCGTGTAGGAAGAGTTGATGGGTACTGATGTGACCAGGCCACTGGATCCTCCTCTACCTCCTTCCCACATCATCCCCACATCATCCCCAACTCTCAGCACAGAGCACTCACAAGGAACCATTCCATCACATAATGTTCGGGGTGCTCCCGTAGTATGCAGTTCAGGGTGATCTGATGTCCTTGCGACACGTCCACCAGCGGGGGTACAGACACATGCACCTCAGCCTGGGTGCCTGCAGGATGGGTGTGGCGTCAAATGTCTACCCAGTGCTACTAACAGGGAGAGCGCTCCAGACCGAGCCTCCTATCTCAGACTGGAAAAAACTAGCCCACATGTCCTCCCTTAGACACAGAGGTCCAGACCCTTGCCTCCTCTCTCAGACAGGAGTCCAGGCTCCCACCTTCTCCCTCAAATGCAGCTACTCTCTCCCTCCTTGGTCCTCCTCACGTCTGGGACCCATCAGTGTCTCTGTATAACTTGCGAGTTATGTGAACCAGGCTCAAATTCACAGAGATCTACAGATGCCTCTGCCTCCTGACTGCTCAGATTAAAGTCCTGTGCTACCAGGCCAGGCTCTCAACTTGTAAGGTTTAAGGTCAAGCCTTCTTCAGCACTCTAAGCTAAAGTCTTGCTTCTCCTAGTATAGCAGACATCCCCTCAAGGAAGGGTCAGGCCTGTCTCTCCTTTTGGCCTCTAGCACCCAGGGCAGGACCTGGCCTGGGGCTGAAGAACAGGTCTTTCTCCATCTTTGTTTTCCATTTCATGATCCCATCCTGTTTTCTCCGGTAGCTCCTGGGGGCCCTTCTGCTCTCTGATGTGTGGGGGGCTGGGGTGCAGGCTGCAGCTGGGCCAGGAGCTGGATGGGTGTGTGGGAGTGGCAAGGGGGGACAGGGCTGGGCAGGTTTCAGGAATGTGGGAGGGCCAGGCTGGCTGAGACCTGCCCGGCTTGGCGCCAGAGCCCCCTACCTGCCCCCTGACAACACCCCCCACCCATCTCTTTACAAGAGAAGTTTGAAAAGAGTAAGGTGAGTCACCTGGGCAGGGAGTGAGCCTGGGTCCTGAGGCAGAAAGGGCTGGAGTTTAGACTCCCAGCAGCCTGAGGCATTGGAGGCTGGATGTTGGAAACATTAACCTCAGGGTCCTAGGGACCTGGAAGCTTGAGTCTTAGACTCCTATCAGGGTCTGGTGGGTAGCATAGTTCTTGCTGGGAATCTACCCCCTGGGACGGCATTTTGGCATCATTCCTTCCCCGCCCAGCTTGGCCTAGGCCTACTCCTTGGTTCCTAACTATATACCACGCTTGTGCCAGGAGCCTGGGTTCCCAGGCACCCACCTCTGGCCCCAACTTGTCCCAGGAGAGCGATGTGGGGCCAGACTGGTACCCAGGGCTGGATGTGAGCTGCAAACAGCCAACAAGCAGATAGATATCCTCTGTCCTCCCTTATCCCTTTTCACCCTGTTCCCAGTGTTCCCGAGCCCCTCTGTTCCTCCTCCCTTCTCACCACGTGCAGGTGTGTGGATTTATCAGGGGTTCCAGGAAAGGGGCCCTTTCAGTCGGAAACACTGTTCCACGTTCTCTGCCAGGCTTGGTACTCCCGGCCCTTTCTGAGAGAGGTGGGTCCTTTAGAGACAGCCTAGACTCTGAATTGAGGGGAAACCCCACACTGTAGGAAGTGCTTTAGCCGCGGGGTCCCCAGTTTCCCCGAGGAAGCTCAAACTTAATCACTTAGGGAACAGCTCTGGGATGTTGCTCTTTAGTGTGCTAGCAGAAGCTGCTTTGACTAAGCAGGAGGGCGGGGAGGGGGGGCGGTGCTGGACTCGAGTCTGAGGGACCAGGGAGAACAGAGCCCAGATTCCAGGTACCCAAGGTTATTAGGGGTCGAGGGCTTAGATTCCAGAGTTCCCAGAGAGACGGGAAGGGGCAGCTGGCTAAGGTTGTGTCTGCTCCAGAGCTGGGGTATCCTCAACTCTCGGATCGGGGACATCCCAAGGCCTCCCCGTCTTCCTCCATGGTAGGGAATCCCTAGATTGTACTCCTTGGGGAGATGGAAGATTGTTCCCCTTGTCTTTCCGGGGACCCCGGGGGCCAGCCCCACAAAACCCAACACCAGCTTTCAGCTCTGCCCTCAGTCCCAATTCATACCTGAGTGGCCCGCCAGGAGGAGGGCGAGCCACAGCAGCCCTGCGCGGGCGTCTGGGGGCTCCATGTTCCCTGCGGTGGTGGCGGTGACTGAGCCGGGGTGAGGCTCTCGGCAGCGGTGAGGCTGGCAGCGGAGGCCACGCCCCGGGACACGCCCCCACCCCCCCACATCCCCAGGCTGGGCGCAAGGCCAAGACCTCCCACTGCCCAGAGAGGACCTCCCACCCGCGCGCGCAAGGACCCATCCGCACCGCCTGCACCGCCTCGCGCGCGCGCGCCGCTTTGATCCAACCCACGCCCGTGGCTGTCCTCCGTGGCCTGGGGCCTGACCGACCAACCAGGCTAGCTGGTGCCCAGAGCTGGGATCTGAGGGACACCACGAGGACCCTCATTCCCTTCCTTCTTGGCCTCCTTCAGGGGCCTTGATACTCATTTCCACGATGGCAGCCCTACCTCCCGGCTGCAGGTGGATCTTTTTCCTAGTTTGTTTTCTTTTTGGAGACAGGTGTCACAATGTAGCTCAGGCTAGCCTGGAACTCGTAGCAATCCTTCTGCCTCAGTTTCCCAAGTGCTGGGATTACAAGGGTGCCCACCGCCTCTGATTTGTGAACTGTCGGAGTTTACCAGCGGTTCCTGGTACAATTAGTTTCCTGTGTTGGCCTCCTTCTGTAGTCTCTCCTGCATGACTGGCTTTTCCCAGGGTGCTCTACGATGCCCTCCCCTTAGAGCCACCTTGCTGGGAATCGTCTCTCCTCTGACTGAGCAGTGGCCTGGAACTGGTCGGGTCAATCTTCTCTTTAATGGGTTTTCAATTCCTAGGTCCTCTTAGGCCTCTTTGGTGATGGGGTGGGCATGGGGAGCCCCTCCCTCTGCTCTGCTCTCCCTGACTCCCTCACATCCCCCCATCCAGGGAATCCAAGGAATGTCACCCCCCTTCTTCCTTCTCTCCCCGCCATTCCCTCCCCACCTTGGGGGGAGGGGAGGAGACGTGGGTTGGCTCGGGGCAGGTGAGTGGAGGAGGGAGAAGGAGCTCAGGCCACTGGGTCCACTGGACGGAAGAGAGGGTCACAGGTCAAAACCTAGGGTCACAGACTACTCTATTCCAGGGTCCTCACAAGCCAAATCAGCCCGGAACAAAATCCCAGGAATGCTGGGTGGGGGCTGGGAAGGAGCGTTCTGCCTCTGTTCAGTCTGGAGAAGCTAGCCAAGGATACTGGTAGGGATGGGGTGGGAGGTGTCACTGGACATGCTGGGTGACAGTTCTCCCCCAGTCTCTGGCCAGCCTAAGGGACGTCAGCGGTGAGCTTAGGGGGCCCCTGGAGCCAAGGTTTACCCATCAGCCTCAGATGAAAGGCTATAAGTGCTGGCTCTACTCTGCTAAAGGCTGTTTGAGCATTCCTGTCACATAGGACAGTAATTGTGAAACCAGAAAAAGTGACCTTTGCTTGGGGCTGCTCTTTGTCTCCTCTTCATGAAGTCCTCCTTCAACCCTCCCCTTGCAAATCTCTGGATCCCCTGTCAGCCCCCCACACTCTGGAAGGCGTCTATCCTCCATTCTCCTCCACCTGAAGGCTAAGGCTGCCCTGCCTCCCATCCTGCCCCACAGCAGGCAGGAAAGGGTTGTAACATGGGTCACAGGAGAATGCTCTCCACAGCTAATTGGGCTTAGTGGCCCATTCTAACAGCCCTCACTCCGAAGAGGCTGAAGAGGCTGAAGAAGGAAGATCAGGAGTTCAAGGCCAGCTGTGCCTCACAGGAACAGAAACGGACCAAGGAATGGTGTGCTGGGCTGGTAGAAAACTTGTTTAGCTTTCCTGAAACCTGGGGCTCCATCCCTGGCACCCAGTCTACCTGGCACACGCCGTCTATCCCTGCACTTGAGAGGTGGAGGCAGGAGGATCAAAAGTTTATTTGTCCTTGCTACATTGAGTTTTAAGACAGCTGGGCATGGTGGCACATGCCTTTAATCCCAGTACTCTGGAGGCAGAGGCAGGAAAGTCTGGGTTCCAGACCAGCCTGGTAGGTGTACATATCAAGTTCCAGGACAGCCAAGACTTCATAGAAAGACCTGTCTCAAATAAATAAACAAATAAAATAAAACAGAAAGAGTTTGAGGACACCCTGTGCTACACAAGGTCCTATCTCAAAAACAAAAACAAGCTGGGTGGTGGTGGCACATGCCTTTAAACACAGCATTTGGGAGACAGAGGCAGATGGATCTCTGTAAGGTGGAGATCAGCTTGGTCTACAGAGCGAGCTCCAGGACAGGCTCCAAAAGCTACAGAGAAACCCTGTCTCAAAAAAAACAAAAAAATGTCAGGTGGCAGTGGTGAACGCCTGTAATCCCAGCACTCAGGAGGTAGAGGCAGGAGGATCTCTATGAGCTCAAGGTCAGCCTGGTCCACAAGAGCTAGTTCCAGGACAGGCACCAAAGCTACACAAAGAAACCCTGTCTTGAATAAAATAAAACAAAACAAAAACCCAAAGGTGTTGGAGAGCTGGCTCAGCAGTAAGAGCACCTATTGCTCTTGCAGGGGGCTCAGCTCAGGTTCTGGTACCATGTCCAGTCAGGCTCACAGCAGCCTGTAACTCCATTTCCAGGGGGATTTGATGCCTTCTCTGGCTTCCAAGAGCACCAGGCAAACACGAATGAACATAGGTACATGTAGGCAAAGATTTGGACATATAAAATAAAATAAAGCCGGGCGGTAGTGGCGCATGCCTTTAATCCCAGCACTCAGGAGGCCGAGGCAGGGGGATCTCTGTGAGTTCGAGGCCAGCCTGGTCTACAAGAACGAGTTCCAGGACAAGCCTCAAAGCTACAGAGGAACCTTGTCTTGAAAAAGCAAATAAATAAATCAACAATAAATAAAATGAACCTTTAAAAATAAATATTAAAAACTAAATAAAAATAAATCTTTAAAAACAACTCAAACCGGCCAGACGATGGTGGCGCACGCCTTTAATCCCAGCACTAGGGAGGCAGAGGCAGGCAGATCTCTGTGAGTTCGAGACCAGCCTGGTCTACAGAGCGAGCTCCAGAACAGGCTCCAAAGCCACAGAGAAACCCTGTCTCAAAAAACCAAAACCAAAAAAAAAAAAAAAAAAAAAAAAAAAAAAAAACCAACTCAAACCAGAGTAGCCACCATAGGATGCCATCCACACTTCTAGATGGCATTTTCACACAGTACCCAAGTGTTTTGTCGGACCCTCTTCCACACTGGCACATCAGCTGCCTCTTTCCTGTTCTGTCTCCGCCCTGTGTACCTGATTAACTGGGTCTGGACCCTGATGGGAGCCTAGCATCAACCACCTCCTTTGCAACCATGAGAAGTCAGCAGGCCAGGTGCTGGGTGAAGAAGTGCCACATGGTGAGAGCAGAAGAAAGGCATCAGCCCTGGACTTGTAGAAACTCGTATCACAATGTCACCTCCCATTGTCCCTACAATTAGGTCCTACTCAACAGTTAGAAGAATCCTGCGGGGATGTGAGTCAGCTCAGGCCACTGTTCTCTTAGAAGCCGCCCACGGCTCCATCTTGCTGAAAGTAAAAGCCATCATTCTCTCTGTGGTTTGTGAGGTCCTAGATCTGACCTTTTCCCTCCCTGGCCCCATCTGCCATTCACTCTCCCTCTCAAGCCGTATTTTTATCACATTGGTCTCTCTCTGCTGACGCGCTAGCCCATCAATCCCAGGACCTTTGCCCTTCCTGCCCCCATTGCCAGGGCATCTTTTCACGGAGTGCCTTCCTCCTTGCTTGCTTCTCATCCCTCCTGTGACTTGCCTCATTAGAGGACTTCAGGTCCCAGTCCCCAGCCGCCCCATGTTTCCCTTCTCCATCACATTTATCGCGGTGGGATAAATTCTGTCTGCCACAGAACCTGTGCCCCAAGAAGCAGTAACTCCGCAAGGGTCATACTGTATCTCTAGTGCCTAGGACAGTGCCCTGACTTTAGACAAAGAAATACTGGGTACTGAATAAAGACATGTTCTGATTTCGTCCTCTTGACTGGTGTGTGTGTGTGCAGATGGACAGTCACGTGTCTCTAACAATGGACATCCGTTCAGATAAAGGCGTTGCTAGGCAATTGTGCCCTCATGTGAGTATCACAAAGCAGCTCCACAAGAGAAATCACACGTAGGACATCATCAGTTGATACGATCTTACAGTCCTCTGTTGAACACGGGCTCTTGTGTGACTCATGACTATCTCACTGTCCCTTAAATAAAGTGCAGAGAAACGGCCAATTAGCTGTATGCATCTCTCCATAGGCTTTATAATAATTATTAATGTTTCATGTGTATATGTGTATGTCTGCATGTGCATGTAGCTGCTTTCAGAGGCCAGAAGAGGGTGCTGGAGCTCCCAGAGCTGGGGCTACACATATCTTGAGACACTCCACGCACATGCTGGGAACTGAACTTTGGTTTTCTGAAAGAGCAACAGGTGTCTTAACCACCAAACCATTGTCTTAGTCACTGTTCTATTGCTGTGAGAGAGACCACGACCAAGGCAGCTCTTGCTTCTCACAGTTTCAGAGGTTTAGTCCATTATCATTACCGTGTGGAGCAGGGTGGCACAAACAATGCTGAAACAGTTGCTGAGAGCTCTATACGGATCCTCAGGCTGAGAAAAAGAGGCATACTGGATGTGGCATGGGCTTTCGACACCTCAAAGCCCACCTGCAGCGACACACTTCCTCCAGCAAGGCCACACCTCCTAATCCTTCTCAAGCAGTTCCATTCCCTGGTAACTAAGCATTCAAATACATGAGCCTATGAGGGCCACTGTTGTCCAAGCCACCGCAGCCAAGTGCTGTACTTCTGAGAGCTGAGTCACAAGTTGGCACAAACGCTCCTTACTAGACTATATTGCTGTTTGGTTGGAGATGCGATCTTGCATAGCCAAGGCTGGATTAGAACTTGCTATGAAGCCAAGAATGGACCATAAATTTCTGATTTTCCTTCCATCTCTTCCAAAATGCTAGGTTACAGATGCTGCTCCGCCTCTGTCTGGCTGTGTTTTAATTAATCTTTCTTTTCCTTTCTTTCTTTCTTTCTTCCTTTCTTTCTTTCTTTCTTTCTTTTTGTGGAACTTACTCTGTAGACCATGCAGGCT